CTAAACTGACCCTCAGACCCCTAAACTGACCCTCAGACCCCCAAATTAAACCCTAAACTGACCCTCAGACCCCTAAATTAACCCTAAATTAAACCTCAGAAAATCTGAGCTCTTCTTGCAAATCTGTAACTCCCAAACCTTGTCCTTCAGCAGAGCAAAAAAAAAACCCCAATAATAAGAAAAAACCCCAATAATAAGAAAAAAACCCAATAATAATAATAATAATAAAAAAAACAATAATAAGACAAGCCAGGGTGGGAAGGGGAACTTTTTCCCTGGAGGGAGGGTTGGGATGGCCCAGGGATCAGTCTGATCCCGAGTCACTCCAGCCTGGTGTCACCTCGGGAAAGCTCCAGGGGTTGCAACCTTAAAGCAGGTCAGGCTGAAGCAGCAGGTGCTGCTTGGGAGGGAGGATTAGCAGAGGAAACAGAGGTTTTTTTTTTTTCCCAAATTTATCCCGTTTCCAGCAGCGGGAGGCCGTGGGATTTTATCCCAGTTTTATTCTGTTTCCATTTGTGTTTCCCAGTTTATTCTGTTTCCTTTAGGGGGAATAAATAAAGTTTGTTTTTTTTTTTTTCCCCAATTTTATTCTGGTTCCAGTAGCAGGGGGTTGTTCCCAAATTTATTCTGTTTCTATTAGCAGGAAGTTGTGGATTTTTTCTTAATTTATTCTGTTTCCATCAGCAGGAGATTGTGGGATTTTATCCCAAATTTATTCTGTTCCCATTATCAGTCGTGGGATTTTTTCCTAATTTATTCTGTTTCCTTTAGCATGAATAAATAAAGTTTTTTTCCCAATTTATTCTGGTTCCATCAGCAGGAGGTTGTGGGATTTTATCCCAATTTATTCTTTTTCCATTAGCAGTTGTGGTTTGTTTGGTTTTTTTCCCAAATTTCTTTGGTTAAGGCTGTGGGGTTTTTTTTTTCCCCAAATTTATTCTGTTCTCATTAGCAGTTGTGAGATTTTTATCCCAAATTTATTCTAATTCCATTAGCAGGAAGTTGTGAGGCTTTTCCCAAATTTATTCTGGTTCCATCAACAGGAGGTTGTGGGATTTTATCCCAAATTTACTCTGTTCCCATTATCAGTTATGAGATTTTTTTTTCCCAAATTTATTCTGTTTCCATTTGCAGGAATAAAGTTCTCTTCCCAATTTATTCTGGTTCCAGTAGCAGGAAGTTGTAGAGTTTTTTTTCCCATATTTCTTTTGTTCAGGTTGTGGGTTTTTTTCCCAATTTATCTTATTTCCAGTAGCAGGAGTATTATAAATTTTTCCCAATTTATTCTAGTTCCAGTAGCAGCTGTGGGGCTTTTTTCCTCAATTTATTCCTTTTCCATTAGCAGGAATTTGTAGGATTTTTTCCCCAAAATTTCTTTTATTGAGATTTTGTTGGGTTTTTTTGTTTTTGTTTTTGTTTTTTTGGTTTTTTTTTCCCAAATTTATTCTATTTCCATTATCAATCATGAGATTTTTCCCAAATTTTTTCTATTTCCACTACCAATTGTGTTTTTTTTTTTCCCCAATTAATCTGTTTCCATCAGCAGGAGTTTATGGGGTTTTTTTATTCCCATATTTACTTTATTTTCCTTACACGAGGGATTTTTTTCCCCTCTGTTTGGATCCAGAGCCCAAAGAACAACACGGAAAAGATGACAAAGCCTTGGAGTGGGATCAGCACCACCTGTCAAAACACGATTAAAACTACAATTAAAACACCAAAACACCTGATTAACCTCCCTAATAATTAATATCTATTATTCTTATTTAACCTCCCCCCTCAATCCCCCCTTTTCCAGCTGCTTTTAGCCCTCTGAGCCACAGATGAGGCCACTCCTTGTTTTCTCCCCGTCCTGAAAACTGCTGAAAAAGTGATTTTTATATTATTTTTCTCGCTTTTTATATCCTGGGAGGGAAGATTTAATCCACCTGTTTCCTCCTCTCCCCTTTCCCTTCCTTTTAGGATCTTTCCCAACCTCCCCAGAGCGTTTTCACCCTCCTAAAATCCAATTTTTAAGGTGTTTTTTTTGCTGTTTAACCCCTCCCCCAACCCCTTATTTTTTATTCCCACTCCCCCCTGGGTTTTATTTTTCCTTCCTCCTGTTGAATTCCTGAGCCAACTGGTTGGGAAATTTTAATTCCTTAATCCTGCCAGGGTTTGTTAAAGGGCTGTGTGATGTAACCATATTCTCAATAAAAGCTTTTAAAGGTTTTATCTCCCATGGAAAACCAGCTCAAAACGGGGCTGTTTCCCAAAATTAATTCCAGGAGAGGGAATTTTAGGTAGAAATCGAATTTCCAGGCAGCAAACCCTATTTTTGGGGACCTCCTGCTTGTGCCCTAACATCCCCTCTGTGAATTCCTTCAGTGGGAATTAGGAATAATCCTGGAAAAAAAGGAGGATTTCCCAGCCCTGGGGTGGGTTTTCCTGGTTTTTGTGTTGTTGGGAGAAGGTGGGGGGGATCACTTGGCCGCTCCTCCCCTGCTGGGCTGACTCAAAAACCTCGTGGATTAAAAAGAGGGATAATTAATAATTCCAGCTGACAGCTCTGGCTGCCCAAATACCTCCCGGACCAACTGGATCTGGAAACAAAGCAGGGGCTGAGAGTTCTTCTTTTCCAGCTGCTGCACTTGGAAAAATCCCCTTTTTTTAAATTATTTTGAGGATAAAACTTCGTGTTTTAGGGAACGTTGTCGCTGCTGAGGAGGGGGGTAAAGAGATACTGGATTTTTTGGGGGAGAGTGGGAGATGCTGGAAGCGTTTCCTGGGAAAAGCTTGTAGGGTTGAGGTTGTGGGGAGAGGATTTAT